TGTGTGTGTGTGTGTGTGTGTGTGTGTGTGTGTGTGCGCGCGCGCGCGCACAGGTTTCTCTAGGGTAGCAGTGCTCAACATGTGAACTGCAGATGATCAACAAGAACAAAATTGTTTTCATATTAATACTCAGATTTGCTTTTTGAACACTCATGCACATACACAGGAATTTCCTATGGATGGCACATTGTATTACACAGGTGGAATGCCAAAACAAACATGAGTATCCAGTGTTCTTTTATTAAGCCAAACACTACAGAAATTTGAGTATATATGTAAAACAATGCCACTTTTTCCCCTAAATATTTTTGTTTAGAAAATGTAGGTTTTTTTCATTATAGTTTGTTGTTTATTTAAGCTTGATTATGAATTAAGTGAAGATTTACAAAGCAGATCATCAATTTGGCATTCCACAACTCATACATTTTCTGCCTGAACATACGCATTGCAATCCCCTTCAGTATACCATCACTAAGCCCACTTCCTTCCTATGTACCATCACTAAGCCCACTTCCTTCCTATGTACCATCACTAAGCCCACTTCCTTCCTACGTTTCCTGCTTCCTGTCCTAACTTTGTCCTTGGGGAACTGGTGCCCTTTTGATTTTGAATAGTTGATTGTTATCTTCAAATATAATCAGATGTCTTATTAAAGTATCTCTTTTAATTTCTAAGTGGTAAATACTGATAGATAAAATCCATACTAAAAAAAAGAAAGAAAGAAAAAGGTTTTTTTTTGGAGTTTTCTATAATTTCTAAGACTATAGAGGGGTCTTGAGACCAAAGAATTTGAGGCCTGCTCTGTGAGGGCAAATACTTGGTGGTGGGATTGCTGGGTTCGTTGCATATGCGAGGATTCTAGGTAGCGCTCTAAAATACTGGTTCTTTTCACTAGCAATGGATAAACATTTATTGATCCACATGATCTCTGACACTTGAAATTATCAATCTGCCATCTAATCAGTAAGTTGTAGAAAACTGTAGTATCTTTTTGAGGTATTCATTTGTATCCTTTGATTACTCATAAATTTAAGCATCTTTCTCATTTTATAGACTGCCATGTTTCCTGCCCTGTGGAATACCTGTTCATGATATTTGCAGATTTTTATCGTGATGTTCTCTTCTGATTGATTGTAGGAATTTATTATATATTCTTAATACTAAAACTTAATCATGTGCTACATGTATATTCTTTCAATTTAGTACTTGTCTTTATGTTATCTAATATATATTGGTAAATGAAAGTTATTGATTTTAACATAGTCAAGGTTATTAATTCTTCTAAAGTTGCTGTTTTTTTATATCACTTAAAGATGCTAAAAAATAAAAAAGATGCTCTTCCCTATTCCAATGTTAGAAAAACATTCTCCTATATTTTCCTCATTTAAAATTTGCTTTATAATTCAGTTCTTTATATCATGTAAGTCAATGATACAATTGGAATGTTTTAATACGGATAAAAAAACCCCACAAAGACATCTTAAGAGCTGAACCAATCATTCTTTTCCTCGGCCTGACTGCCTCCGGGGAGGGGAGGGGAGGGTTACCTGTCTCCAAGTACTCGTAGAACAGACCCAGGTTTCCGAAGGACTCCAGGTCATGGTCCTGTTCCCAGCGGCTGTACAATTTCTCAGAGTGGGTCCGCGTTTTCCGGCGTCGCCACAAATTCAAAATAAGGCTGTTGCAAATGAAAGAAGTAAATATTGGAAATAGAATTAAAGAGAAAGAGGTCAGAAAATTGGAATACTGTACCTGAAAATTGGAGTCAGAGAGGTTAGGTGTAAATTAAGATCACAGACCAAGTAAAGATAAGCTAATATCTAAGTCAACATCTAGTTTTCTCTTCCCAGTACCTGCACTGAGAGGTTGGCAAGTGTTAAAGGCAACAGAGGCAAATACTGTTAGCACACAACCCTGTAATAGTAGTGACCTATAGGTAGATGCTTAAGTAAACATGCAAACTGAACACTTATGAGAGGCAGTATCCCTACAAATATAGAGAGACCTGACAGAAGATATTTTTATGTGTACTCATCTGTACTGCAAATATATCCATGAATGTAGTGGAACATCTTGGGAGTAAAATTATGCAAACTTCTTAGACATAACTAAACAAATTGAGGAAATGTGTCGCTGGGCACGAGGGAACAGGACAGTAGTCTTGGGGTACACACTAAGGTCAAATGAGGTAACACAGTTCACAAAGACCATTTTCTACATCCTATTTAGGGAGTGGTGACTGGGGTCTTAACAGCTCATGAGCAGCCATCTACGGTACAATTCTCGGTCTCTACCTATATCGAGAAAAGGTGAGTAATGAAAGTTGAAAGCCATGTGTAAACAATTAGTGTGGTAGACCAATGGACCCTGCAGACCTCAGTCTCCACCGCATGGGGGCCAGAAGAACCAGATGAGGTCTGGCTGCCATGACTGATTGCTTGGAAAAGGCTCACATTAGCAGGTCCTGAGTAGTGTGGAAGGAAAATGTGGAACGTAATTTGAGATCCTAGAAGAGACCAATTTTGCTGGTCAATTAGAGACTGGTGTGATCCCCGACAATATCGCCCTTAGTGACCGTTCGTGTCTGGAAATGAACTCAAACCTGTGTTAGAATAATGAACCCCTTCAAATACCCAAGGCAGCATTTACCCAAGGACAAAGGAGGGCTAGGAGAGAAGGAGGGCGGGAAACAGAACACAGCAGCAAGTGGGGTCAGGGATGGTGCACTGAGGCGATCCCAAAGGATGACTGGAAACAGCACATGTACAGAACGTTGAATGTAAAATGATGATCTATTTTGTAAACCTTCACTTAATTCACAACACATGTAAAAACCAAAAAAGAGAGAGTTCTTCACTAGGGCATATAATAAAACAATCCCAACTTCTTTTATTAAAAGATATTTACTCAGAGCAAGTTTGAGTGATCTGAGGAACAGAGGGCCAGTACTAGGAGCAGTTTTTCTATCAATCTTTAGCCTTTTAGGTTATTTAGATATAAAAGACTTGAGCTATTTAAGAAATGGAAAATTCGTTACAGTAAAAAATCTACGAGAAAGGGAAACATGACACTTGATCTCTCAAAACCCAAACAGAACTCACAGCCATTGAGTCAGTTTCGACTCACAGGCACCCAGCAGGACAGGGTGAAACTGTCCCTGCAGGGTTCTGAGCCTGCAGCTCCTCATGGGAGTAGAGAGTCTCACCTTTCTCCCTCAGAGCAGGCTGGTGGTTTTGAACTGCTGACCTTGTGTTTAGTAGCCCAATGTGTAACACATTAAACCACCAGGGGTCCTGAAACCTTATCTAAGACTTTTTAAAAAAATGCAATGACCCCTGTAAAAGGTGAGCTAATTAAATTCCATTCTCTATAAAAAGATGAAAACGTGAGAAAGTAAGGTTACTGTGAGGCGTGCAATGGACCACCTTAACAATTTAAGGATTGGGAAAAAACTGCCTAAGTTGGTACTGAAAAAAAGCATTTGATGCACTTCAAACACTTATTCAAAACCAACCTACCACCGAAATCAGGGAATAGAAGGAAATTATCTCAATTTGATTTAGAGAATCTATCCCAAGCCTGGAAAAAATATTATTCTAATAAGAAATGCTAGAAATATTCCCTTTTAAATTGAAAACAAAATAAAAGTGTGCACAAGCATATTCAAGACTCTACCAGAGATTTTAATAGCACAGCAATATTAAACAAACTAAAGCCAAAATAATTGGAAATGGTAGCATCTATCAATGTTCCCAGTGATATGACTGTCTACACAGAACACCCAAAGAATATAGAAGAACTATTACAATTAATAATAGGAATATATCGATGTGATTGCTTTCAATATTTCAATATTTTCAATGCCCACAACCATCAATTAGAAATCACAATTTAAAAACTGCATTAGAATAGCAAATAAAATTTAGTGTACATCCAGAAACAAATTGGCAAAAGATCTGTAAGACATATATGTGGAAATTTAAAAACTTTTTAAAAGGGAATAAAGTCCTAAGTAATATTCAGGGATAAGAAGACTCAGTATTATTTTTAAAAATTTAGTTATAATTCAATTTCAATCAAAATACTTCCGTCCATGTAAATGATGATGCTCTCACTGCCACTGAATCACTGCTGACTGTGGCAACCCCCTGTGGGTTTCCAAGGCTGTAAATGGTGCAGAAAGCCCAGTCATCCTCTCCAAGACCACAGCCCAACACATAACCACTACACCACCAGGGCGCCTCAACTATGGTAGCATGTTTCTTATTTTACACAGAAAGATAAAAGTCAAAGGGCAGTCTAAATACTTCTACCGAAGAAGAATCAAGTAGAAACATGTACCCTACCACATATTAATTAAAAGAGTACAGTGTGGAGATGGAGACCTGTTGTGGTGTGGGCTAAGTATGAAGCCGTGATTGCAAGATTACCATGAAGCTCGGGGTCAACAGCATGCTAACGCATGCATGAAGAACCTATTTAAAATGTATTTCCTCCCCATTGCACTTAAGGACACTGGAAAACACTCAGCACTCGACTTCACTCAAAAGTCACTGCCACGAAGTTGATTCTCACTGACAAGGCTGCCCCTGTGGGTTTCCAAGACGTAGATCTTTACAGGAGTAGACCGTTTCCTCTGTCTCCCTCAGAGTAGCTTGTGGGTTTGAACCGCTGACTTCGTTGTGAGCAGCCAACAGGGAATCCACGATCATCAGGACTCCTTAGCACTCTGCTTAGGGGCCACTTAAGCAACATCACCACCAAATAAAAGCATAAAAATGTGAAAAATATGACACCCAATTATTATGGAAGAGAGACATATTTAAATTATAAAAGCTAAAATAAAATAAAAATTGAAAAAGAAAGCAAAGTTTCATCTTATTTACCTTTAGCTAAGAATTCGTGTTGGGTGGCACAAAGTTTTTACCATTCTGTGCCTACTCGTGAAGGAATTAACAATTCCAAGTGTTAACTATGGGGATACAGATAAATTCCAGTGAGGAGGCAAATTAGCGAATACAGAAGCAGAGGATAATGAAGCTCAACTGTAAGGAGGCCCAATGTCATTATAACTGAAGTTGAAAAACTCCTGCTCTAAAGGACTGTAAAAACGTACAACGATAAAAATCACACTGGGGAGAACATACTTACAACACACATAACCAAAACAAAAGAGAAAGCAACTAGCATTTATGGAAGTACTCCTAAAAATAATTCAGAAAAAGACGAACCACCCAGCACAAACGTGCTTACACACCGTGAGCATGCATTCAACGACCGTGACGACGCGGCATGGAGGGATACTGAAGGTACACAGGACCGCCTGCGAACAGACACATCTGTTGTGCAGAAATATAGCCAGATGTTCCTTAGAAGTGAGGATGGGTAAGAATTTATTTGTCTCCTCTCCTTTGGACTTGTTATGAAGACAGAGCAGTCCCAGGAAAAGGGACTAACACGGATTACTTTATTTTGCTTATTAAAGTGGAGGGCCTGTGAAAAACAGGAAGGCCCTGGCAAGGTGGCTGCATTAATGGGCTCAAATATAACAATTTTGTGAGGCTGGCACAGAACTGGGCATTCTTTCAGCCTGATGTGCTTCGGGCTGCTATTGGCTGACGCTGACCCCACAGTACCTAAGAATAATCTGGGCAAAGGACTAAACGACGTAGAAAACATCCAGACAAGATTGAAGGAATACACAGAACAACTGTATCCAAAACAACTGGCCATGCTTGAACCATTTCAGGAGGTAGTGGATGCTGAAGAACCAGTGGTTTGAAGGAAGAAATTCAAGCTCACTGAAGACAGAGGCGAAAAAAAAGCAGGGAGTCGCCAGGAATTAGCAGAATGCCAGTTGCTATGTTGTCACCAAGGATGCAAAGCTGGAGCACTAGCTCTGAAAGGGGCCTTGTTGTTGCTAAATGCCACCAAGCTAGAAAGGAGGCAAGATATCAAAGCTATTAGTCTTTTGAGAGAAAATATAGGGAACTATCTTTGTTACATTGCTGGTAAATTTTACCTATAAGTTAATGGGTACCGTGCAAGGTGCAACATGTTTGTGAGAATAAATCGAAATGGCCATTTATACTATGTAGAAATCTTGATGGTACAATAGGGAGTTTTCAAAATTTTCTAATCCTAGGGACCTTCCCCAAAGAACCATTTGACATTGAAGCGTGTTTCTGTCTTGCCGTATCAGCTAATACCAATTCCTATTAGAGAAGTGTAATCTATGGAGCCAATCACAGAAAGAGTCCCACTTTGTAAAATCCTCCTTTCAATTAATGACGTCATTGGAAGCCTTGTACTCATGTGAGACACGCAAGCCTATGGCATTTTCCACGTCCTCCGGCTCCTCACCTTCTCATGGATCCCCCTTTTCAGGGAGTTATCTGCCCTGCAGTCCGTGTGTCCAGAACTCTTATCTGTACCAATGTACATGCTCTGGGGAACCAATCATAGTGATCAACGTATAACACCCGCCTCCCACCCAGGGGAATGAACAACAGACACATGGGTAAAGGGAGCCAGCAAATGGTGTAAGATATGAAAATAATAATAATTTATAATTTATCAAGGGTTCACAAGGGTGGAGGGTGGAGGAGGGAGGGGAAAAAGAGGTGCTGACACCACGGGCTCAAGTAGAAAATGCTTTGAAAATGATGATGGCGACATACGCACATTGTGTTTGATACAATTGCTGCGTGGATTGTTGTTACAAGAACAATAAAAGTCCCCAATGAAAAGACTTAAAAATAAAAAGTATTTAAAATATATAAAAAGATAAATGTACTAAAAAAGATTTCTGATCAACTCTTTTCTGCATTCACTTGTTTTACATGATTTTCTGCTTGATTTCACTTGATTATTTTTCATCCTTTTTAAGGAAAGTATCTCCTCTAATATGTATTCTTGATATTCTCAACATAATTATCTTACCAGAAGATCTTTACCAGAATCTTCTACAAAACTAACTTCTTCAGGAGGCAATTAACATCCTGAAAATTCACTTGGCAGCAGTCTTCGTAACATGGAATCTCATTGCTTTTTGTTTTTATTTTTTGCAGTGGGTCATGGTGGTGGCAGGAGTGTGGGTTTGCAGGGAAGCTCACTCTGCATTTTGAAATTAGTTTGCTTGCCTGGTTTCCTTCTAACTTCCTCTGTCAGTCTATCTCTCTGTGCAAACTCTCCCCTCTTGTGGTTGACTGAACAATTGTCTCCTGTCTGCCTTTCTGGTTGTCCATTTAAAACTAGTAGTTAAAGTTATGGTTTAAAGTTATTTCCCTGAAGTAGTATTTGGGATGTGGTGGATCGCTCAGGAAGCTGGGAGAAGGCTTGGGTCATTCGCTCTTTGTAAGGTTGGATTCATGGTTTTCTTTTGCCAACACTTGAAAGAGAAACGCAGGCAGCACCATGGAAGTATGAGCTGCCTGTGTATGGGGGAAAAGACAAAGGGTACCATATAATCCCCTTGGTATGAATACCTGAGAAGAAAGCCAGTCACTGGCTTCCAGTACAGGTAACTAACCATTCTCCATCACAGTGGAACACGTTTGGTCAAGTTTATCCTCTCAAAACTCCAAACTCACTGCCCTTGAGTGGATTCCAACTCACAGCAAATCTAAAGACCAAGGTAGAACTGCCCCTGTGGGTTTCTCAGGGTGCAGCTCTTTAAGGGAGTGGAGAACCTCATCTTTCTCTCTGGAAGCAGCTGCTGTTTTCAAACTGCTGAGCTTTGGGTTTGCAGCCCAAAGTATAATGCACTCTGCCAACTCTGCCACCAGAGCTCCTGGAGATGCCAAATCCTGGCACTGCCATTGACGAACCAGGACCCCTACAAGATGACGGGCTTCTGACTTCACGATTCTATCTTATTCTCTCCGTGTTCATTTTATATTTGAGAGCAACTGCCGTTTTCATGTAATCTTTGTTTGCATATTCATGATAACTCAGCTTTTGGACAGAGGGGGATTCTTTCACAACTTGAGTTAGATCTTCTCCAGCATGTTGTAAGCAGTTTTTACTCCTAATATTGCTATGGCAAGTGGAGAGTTTTGCTGAGAACATATAATATATAACAAGTAGATGACTCCTCAGAGGTTATAACATTTAGATTTCCAAATGGGGTTTTCAGAGAATGATCTTTCTCTAAACTTTACTCAAATCATAGGGATGCACTTCAAAGCTTGTATTACCTTAACAAGTTCATAACTGTTGATTACAAGTACTTTTCTTGTTGGCTTAAACATTAACTATAAAAGCACCAGGATAATCAGAGAAGTCATCATCTTCCAGAGGAAATTGCTATTACTACTTGAATCAAACAAAAACCTCATGAATAATACATACGGATAAATGGCTTCTTTAATGTTTCCAAATAGCTGTTTCCCAAACATTATGATGGTCAATTGAGTTGTTAATTCTATCAGGCATCCTGCAGGATCACACTAGTGAGACACAAAGAGAAGAGAAGAAATGTAAATGATGAAACATGAGCTCTGGCAACAATTAAAATACATCCAGATGCAGAAAGTTAGAGTCTCAAAATTTTGATTGGAAGGGCCATTAAGGGCTGGACCAAAGGATGTGCACTGGTACAGATGGGAACTGGAAACACAGGGAATCCAGGACAGATGATCCCTTCAGGACCAGTGCTGAGAGTGGCGATACCGGGAGGGTGGAGGGAAGGTAGGGTAGAAAGGGGGAACTGATTACAAGGATCTACACATAACCCCCTCCCTGGGAGACAAACAACAGAAAAGTGGGTGAAGGGAGACATCAGTGTAAGACATGACAAAGTAATAATAATTTATAAATTATCAAGGATTCAAGAGGGAGGGGGGAGCAGAGAGGGAGGGGTGAAAATGAGGAACAGATACCAAGGGCTCAAGTAGAAAGCAAATGTTTTGACTATGATGATAGCAACAAATGTACAAATGTGCTTGATACAATGGATGGATGGATGGATTGTGATAAGAGTTGTATGAGCCTCCAATAATAAAATGATTAAAAAGAAAACATCAAGCTCAATAGATTCAAATATCATCATGGACCAGAGCCAAGCTCACTGTATTAGATTCAACTAGTGAATGTAGTAAGAACATAGTTTCTGGATCTTATACTTAGGGAAAAACAAACAAACAAACAAACAAACAAGACCCCCTGACTCTTTCTACCTAATTTGGATTGGGGAGCTGGTGTTTCTCCATGGTTTGAAAGCACAGCCAGGTTTGGAAACCTTTATGTGCTCTTGATGAATAACCAATTGTAAAGCCCTTCCTGCTACCCCCTCAAGAAGTAATCATTCATCCTTTGTGGGAATTCTTTAGGAATGATTGGCTCATCCCATTCCATAGCTTCTATTTTGCAAGCAAGCATTCAATACAATTTCTTGCTGAAAAGGCACTGGAAAGCCCATCAAATGATAAGATTCGCAGTCATATACTCTCTGTGGATACCATCAATATCCTGTACTTCTTATGCACCTGGTTAGTGTCTGCGATAAGACTGGGCACACAGAAGGTACTCCTTAAACACTGAGTTACTGCGGCCACGATTCCAACCACCGAGAATTCTTACCTCTTCACTTCTCCAGATGTTAAACATATATGTGTATTTCCCAGGATAGCCCACCAGCTTCCCCTTAAAGAAAGCCACGTAGAAGATAGACGAGTAATAGTTTACAAACTGAAACAGGAACATTTTCAAGGTGAGGCTGCTTTCATATTCCTGGTGAGTTCGAGGAATTTCTGGGAAGTGAAAGAACATCAAGGTTTCCATTCAGAGTAGTCAACAATGTCAGATCAAAAGACGGCCATTTACCCAACGACAAAATTCAGAAGAACTGGGAAAGGGGATGGAAAACAGAAAACTCTGGGAGAAAGTAAAATAAGTGATGTCACACTGAAGGGACAGCAGTGAAAGTATTGAAATAAAATGTGTATAAATTGTTGAAAGTAAAATGGATGATCCGTTCTTTAAACCACCCCACTCACAATGAAACATTAAATCCACCAAGGTCTAGTGGACCTCTGATTTCTCCTTGGATGTTCTTCTTTCTGGGACAAGTAGGTATCTAATCAATTCAGAGAACCTGTTAGAATGTTCCCCATGCTGGTTAAAACTAAACAATATTAAGTAACTCCAGGCTTATGTCAGACTTTCTGCTAGATACTTTGCGTTAATTTAACGATTGGCAAAGCTTAGGAGGCAAGCATATTACATTTAAGGGATAAAATGTTTGCCCAAGTTCACATAATCAGAATGTGGAATTCAAATTCATATCGGATGGAGGCGGCTGGGGTCAACTCAGTACGCTCTGTGGTTTCCTGTAACCATATCGTATCTTTCTCATCCTGTTTCCAATCAGGCTTTAATAAAATAATCTCCCATCAAGGGTAGGAGATGATTTCCACACAGTTGAATTTTTCATTCATTAATGAAATAACCACATCAATTTATAAAATAGTACAATAGCAAATGTACTATTTGCTATTGTACACATCTGTCCTTTTGGTCATTTAAAATGCATGCTGATCACGATATATTAGTAAAAGACTGAAAGGTATGAAAACATATTTTCTTTTCACAATGTCATAGAGTATCATGAGGCATAAAAGAATAAGGGACTGGTATTTCAAAGCAATAGCATGATCTTATTCGACCAAGTGCATGGTATTTACTGAAATACTGAAACAGTAAATACGATTACCCTAAGTGTCCCAGAGAGTTAAGCATTGGGCTACTAACCACAAGCTGCAGAGTCAATTTACCAGCCGCTTCATGGGAGAAAGGCAAGGCTGACGCTCCTGTAGTGATTTTCAGTCAGAAGCTCTCGTCTGCCCTACAGGACCACTGAGTTTGAATGGACTCCGTGGAAGTGGGTTTTACTTGGCTTACCATCACAGAGAGGAGACCTGGAGCTGCAGTGGATACATGCTTGGTTGCTAACTGTAATGTTGGCAGTTCAAGCCCACCAGCCACCAGGCATGCTAAAAATGTGGCAGACTGTGTCCAAAAAGATTTTCAGCCTTGTAAACCCTGTGCTGTGTATCAGTTATCCTCCATGACCACTCACCTCATTTGCCCTTATGGTGCAGGAAATATTTAAAAAGAGAAAAATAATCCCGTCCCCAAGAGATGGAAAACGAAGGAGAAGCACTAGCGTGACATATGTGAGAACAGCCGATGACCTCTGTGTGTCTCATTGCAGCTTTCAAAGTTAGAAACGTTCTAGGGAAGCAACCGTTGGGAGAACGGCACAGGGCCGGCAGTGCTTTCGCTGTCGTACGCCGGGTCGCTACGCATCAGAGATGACTCGATGACCCTGCCACCAGCAGCAGCAGCAAGGTCTAAGATATCCGTTGTTCTAGGGCATCTCCATAAGTAATAATACATGTCCACGGCCATTGACGCCATTCTGACTTACAGCGACCCTCTTCAGGATTTCCAGGGCTGTAAATCATTAGCGTGCCAACAGCCTCATCTTCTCCTGCAAAGCCGCTGGTGAGTTTGAACTGGGACTTACCCGACAGTGCCACCAGAGTGGGTGGTACTAATTCAGATGACATAAGAAATATGTGTGTCCTGAGAAAAACAAGCATTTTTAGCTTAGGATTTAACTAGTTCCAGGATTTAAAAAAAAAAGAAGAAAAAAAAAAGGCTTACAGTCCTTAAAAAAATCATGCCCTTGCCTTCCATTATCATAGGGCTGAAATAATTATTTAAAGTTTCAAAGTCACAGGCTACTACAAAACAACACTACCTGAAAATGTACCCTTTGAAAATAAGCACCCTAACAGATAATCCAAAGTGGCTTGACAAGTGTAGTACTGCACTAGGCTGCCACAATAAATTGGCCCAATCTTGATGGCTTAGACCAACACAGACTTATTTTCTCAGAGTTTTGGGGCGAGTAACTGAAATCACGGTGTTGACAAGGTCATGCTGTTCGGAAGGCTCGAGAGAAGTATCTGCTCTTTGCCTCTCGCCTTGTTTCTGGGGGTTACCAGCAGTCCTTGACTTGTGAACACATCACCCCAATCTTCTGTCATTGCATGTTCTTCCCCCTGGCATGGGTACCTCTGTATCCAGACCCCACTCTCGTTTCCATGACAATGGCATGAGCCCTTGGATGTAGAGCCCGCTCTACTCCAGTATGGCCTCATAGTAACTCGATCCCATCTCCAAGACCCTGTTTCCAAATAACGTTACAGTCATAGGTACTGGTGAGTAACACCTGAACATATATTTGGGGGGACACCACTTAACTCACTCCAGGTAGCTTACCCATTTTTGTGATCCAGGCAGATATTTTCTCGTAAAAGAAATTCAGGATTAAGATGACAATAAAGTTCAGGCACGATCCTGTGAGTGATGTCGTCAGCTGGGGAGTAAGGATACGACTGACAGGCTTTAAGGTTGTGTCGGATTCCATGAAGGTAGCCACTGTAGCATAGACCGACAGACGGTACACAATCACAGCAACCATGCAGCTGAGCACAAGAGTCATCTAAAGAACGGAAAGGATTGATCATGATGTTCCATGTACCTCTGTCATGTACATATATCAGAAAGCTTACAATTACCATCTTCATCTCATTGTATTGAACTTAGCAAAGAAAACCATGTTAGTTTATCTTTCACCATAAATGATAAGACATTTCTGGTAATGTATAATGATTAGCAATGAGACATGGGGTAACACGTGCTTACATCTAAATGGGAAAAATTAAACAAAGCCCCAAACGCTGATATTTATCCCCTAGGGTTAGAGCTGACCCTTTCAGCAGAGGTTGGCAAACTGTGGGCAAAGGCACACTCCTGTTGGTGGCCTGCTTTTGTACACCCTGTGGGTTAATAATACATTTTTTAAAGGATGTGGAAAAACATTTAGAATATGTGCCAGAGATGGTGAGACTAAACAAACTCACGGTATTACTGACCCTACAGTGCTTCTCAACCTGTGGGTCGTGACCCCTTTGGAAGTCGAACAACCCTTTCACAGGGATCGCCTATTGGAAAACATGTATTTCCACTGGTCTTAGGAACCGAGACACTGCTCCTCTATCTGTCTCTAGGCGGGTCCGCCCACATGCAGACACGCCCACATATGAGTACCCAGCATGATGACATCATCATGCTAACCCCATCACCTACACCCTGCACAAATACAGGTGTATGTGACAGGGTTGTACCATAATGTACTTATGCGGACCAGTCACACATGTGTAGAGAGCAGCTACTATGTAGAAAGCAGCTGCTGTGTTGACAGCAGCTAATGTGTTCAAAGCAGTAGCATTAGAGGTAAAACAACACTTCATGAATTATAATTACATATTGTTTTGTGAATAATCACTATGCTTTAATTATGTTCAATTTGTAACAATGAAAACACATCCTGCCTATCAGATATTTACATTACGATTCATAACAGTAGCACAATTACAGTGATGAAGTAGCAACGAAAATAATTTTTTTTAAAATAATCATTTTATTAGGGGCTCATACAACTCATCACAATCTGTACATACGTCACCTGTGTCCAGCACTTTAGTACATATGTTGACTTCATCATTCTTATGACACCCACTTTCCACTTGAGCCCCTGGTGTCAGCTCATTTTCCCCTCTCTCTCCCCCCGAACCCCTGATAATTTATTATTATTTTATCATATCTTACCCCATCCCACGTCTCCCTCACCCACTTCTCCACTGTCTGTCCCCCAGGGAGGAGGCCACCTGTAGACCTTGTCCTCTGTTCCCTCTTTCTCCCTCTCCTCCCCTCCACCCTCCCGCCATCGCCACTCTCTCCACTGGTCCTGGGGGGTTAATCTGTCCTGGGTTCACTGTATTTCCAGTTCCTATCTGTGCCAGTGCACCTCCTCCAGTCCAGCTGGATATGTAAGGTAGAATTGGGATCATGGTAGTGGGGTGGAGGAAGCATTTAAGAATCAGAGGAAAATTGCTTATTTCGTCGTTACTACACTGCATTCCGATTTGCTCCTCACCTCCCCGCAGCCCTTCTGCAAGGGGATGTCCAATTTCCCCCCAATGGGCCCTGGGTCCCCACTCTGCACTCCCCCTCATTCACAATGTTATGATTTTTTTTTTTTTTGTCTCTGTTGCCTGATACCTGACCCTTTCACCGCCTTGTCATCTTACAGGCTGGTGTGCTTCTTCCGTGTGGGCTTTGTTGTTTCTCAGTTAGATGGCCCCTTGTTTATCTTCCAGCATGTGGGACCCCAGATTCTGTGTAATTTGACAGCTTGGCACCATCAGCAGCTTTCTTCACCGCATTTGCTTATGTACCCGCTTTGTCTTCAGCATTCGTGTTGGGGTAGGCTGGTGTGCTTCTTCCTTGTGGGTTTTGTTGTTTCTTAGCTAGATGGCCGTCTGTTTGTCTTCAAGCCTGTAAAACCCCAGATGCTGTATCATTTGATAGTCGGGCACCATCTGCTTTCTTCCCCACTTTTGCTAATGTACCCCCTTTGTCCTCAGTGATCGAGTAGGGGTAGGCTGGTGTGCTTCTTCCGTGTGGGTTTTGTTGTCTCCCAGCTAGATGGTGCTTGTTTATCTTCAGATCTTTAAGGCTTCAGGTGATATATCTTTTGGTAGCTGAGCACCATCAGCTTTCTTCACCACACTTGCTTGTGCACCCATTGTCTTCAGCGATAATGTCAGGTAGTTGAGCATCTCAGACTGCCTAATTGTTAGAACAAAGTGTTCTTGTGCTGGGGGAGCACTTGTGTAGGGGCCCACTGTCCATCTGTTTTCTTAATACTTGACCTATAAATATATGTACATTGATCTATTTCTCCCTCATCTTATATAAATATATTTACATCTTTATATGCCTGTGTTTACAACTCTATGAGTACCCTTTGCCACCTAGTTCTTTCCTCTGTTTCTTTGTACTTTCCTCTTGTCCCACTATCATGTTCTGCCTTCATTTGGGTTTTAGGCATTCCTCTCAGTTACAATGCCCTTGATCTAGCCATGCAAGGCCTCCCACACCCTCCTTGACATTGATTTTGGATCACTTGTTGTTCCCTTGTGCCTGTGCTTGTTAAAACCCTCTTCCTTCCTTCCCCCTCCCCTACCCCCATGCTCCCCTGATCTGTCATCCCCGTTGCTCTCTCTTCTGGCGTGTTTATTCTGCCTACCCCTTCCAGGTAGACATGCTATGTAGCATCACCAGACTGGGTGCAACGAGGCAACAACAGAAAGTAAAACAATGTCTACAACAACAACAATACACACATATGCATACATATATAACCGTATGAATAGCTCAGCGTCTGTTTGTTTTCTTTCACGTGTGCTTTCAAGTCTGATTGGGTGCCATGCCCCAGCGTAAGTCGCCTCTATCCCTGAGGACCTCACTGCTCTGTTCCCTCTGCTGCTCTGATGCATGCCCCCAGGGGCTGGCGTTTGATGTGGTGAGCTCATGGCAGGCGCAATTCCCGCTGGGTAGCAAGGGGAACAGGGTACTAATCCACAGAGGGGGAGGGTGTCTATTGTGTCTCCACAGGGAAAGAGGGACCAGACTTCAACCTGGAGCTCCAAGACAGGAACACAACATGCTGACATGAAGTAGGGAACAGATGGAGAGGCCTGAGGGGCTGGTCCCATTACCAATTGGGTGCAAGGCACCACCTTCCCCCAGGGGGAATTCACTTCAGAGGACAGCACTGAAGCTGCAGCTCCGGAAGAGGGGAAGGGAGACTGCTCTGGTCCGAGCACATGTGAGCCAATGAGGGGGGAAGGGGAAGAAAAGGAAAGAGTGGAGCACATCCTGGCTCTCTGAGCCCTGGGGACAATGTGCCTGTTCGGAACAGTGATGCACGGAGATGACCATGGGGCCGGCCCCACCACGGGACACAACGTTCCTCATTGACCCATCGCACCACTGGGAAAATAATTTTATGGTTGCGTGGTCACCACAACATGAGGAACCGTATTAAAGGGCCACGGCATTAGGAAGGTTGAGAATCACTAGAGTATGTATTTGCAAAGCCGTGCATTAGGTTGTAGTTAAACAAGTAGTATGAGGATTATTCATTTTCCAAGAACAATAAATCTTAAAAATTTTATTTCATTTACTCTCAAAATAATACCTTTAGTTATTTGATATCTCAGAGTTTAGATATCTGTGCATATTCTGCATAAATCATGTACACCTCCAAGTTTGTAAAGGCAGACACATTTAGGGATAGATTTATATCATAGATTAGAGATTTTTTCCCCTAAAGTTTAGAAACTGACTCTGAATGACAAAGAGAAATCCACAAAGAGTAACCACCCTGGGACCATAATTTAGAGCATTTTTCAAGGAATGTCACACATTAATTATAATCCCATTTTATTTTATCACCTCTCCCCAAAGACTGGTACATCGTTTAAGGAAACAAATGACAATTGTTGTATCAAGGGATTAGAATGATATAAAATTATGTAGGAATATGGGCTTGTGAGGTTAAGTTCAAGTTTTACCTGCTAATAATGTACACTTCAATCTTCTAAGCATCCTTAGATAATATTGTATACTTTCCGAAAATTAGGGACTAACTCTCAGAGGGTAAACATTTAGGAAGGAGAGTAGGGAATAGAGTCAGTGATGGAGAAGAGACAGGGAGAAAACTTGGCTTTCTGACAATGCGATTTACCAATCAATCGCTCCAAGTATGAAAAGAAACATTTTCTTCTGTTTATCTGAGTAAGAGAATGAACTCTAATAGAATGGGTTGAGTGCTTTTGTCCAGAAATCTTGAGTGTAGTTGAAGATAAACTAATGCTTAAAAACATAAACAATTAGCTGGAGTCTGTTATCAATACTAGCTTCTTATTTTATTTCAGTTGCGGGTTATGATCTAATTACATGAATAATGGGGAGGGAAAAACAGACTGACCATAAGATAAAAAGCAACCCTCTCTTCCCCCTTGGTCTTTTTCCAGGTTTCAATTAGGGCAAATTTATGTAGTCTCACTTTTAAAAGAAGCTTAAGAAATAGACAAGCCAAACACGGGGAAGTCAAAACCAATCACTGATGAGAGAAATGCTGAAATTAACCAAACATGATTATATATGTTAAAGAGATGCTCAGAATGTTTTTTTAAAAATAAATGCTCACCCATAATGTCACGGTGGCTCCTGAGAGTACATACCATGGAATACGACTATAGAGAGGCATGTGAGGCTCCATCTCCTGTAATTTTGACAAAAACACAGCAAAGTTCAAAATCCACCATCACTGCTGTACTAAAAGCAATACTTAAAATCATAGAGCCCAATGAAAGCAAAACGTTTCCCAGAGGACACACTACAACTCTTGGAAAATGATATTGTGGCAATTCTTCCCTTCAAGTAGAATCCTTTGGATTTCCTGAATATCTTATAGAAGGTATAAAGGATAGACCCGATTTCTTGACCGCTGACTTGGAATGATAATTATGGCTTAACCAAACAAAGATTCCTCTGTTATCAAGTCAACTTTGACTCATAGAGACCCTAAAGGACAGGCTAGAACTGCCTCTGCTGGGTTACAACACTACAGAGAGCCTCATCTCTCTCCCTCAACGTGGCTGGTAGTTTTGAACTGCTGACCTGTGGTTATCAGCTCAGCTGCTAACTATTATGTCAGAAGAGCTTCTATCTATTGCTTGGTAGACACAAAAGGAAGGCAAAACACGAGAATTGCTATTTAAATGAATTCACTTTAATGATGGTACAATGTTACTGCACTGAATCACCCTGTAATTGCTCTGCATGACTTTACATGGGATGCTTTCTTTATATCCTTATAAGATATATTCTGTGCTCCTGCATATTCTACAAGTACATCTCTAGGCTATTTAGGATTATTAAAAAACCAAACAACCCCATAGAGTAGATTCCAACTTATATTGGTGTTTGTTCGGTGCCCTCGTGTCAGTTCCTAGTCATGGACTCTATTTACAGTAAAAGAAAACACTGTGTGGCCTTTGCCATGCTCACAATTGTTCTTTTGTTTGAGTCCACTGTGGTAGCGCTGTGTCAGTCCACCTCAGCAACGGCCTCCATCTTTTTCCCTGCCCTCCACTTTGCCACGCATGATGTCTTTCAGCAGGGACTGGTCTCTCCAGAAAACATAGCCAAAGTATGGGAGCTGAAGTTTTACCTTCCTTGCCTCTACGTAGCATTCTGGCTGTATTTCTTCCAAAACAGGTCTGTTTGTTCTTTTGGCAGTCCACGGTACTTTGAATAATCTTTGTCAATACCACAGGTCGAATGCATTGATTTTTCTTTATTCGTTCTTATTCAGTGTCCAATTTTCACATGCCTTAGTCCTCAAAGTAGCATCCTGGCTTTTCAACATGTAAAAGAGGTCTTGTGCAGCAGATTTACCTAATGCAATGTGTCTTTTGATCTCTTGACTGCTACTTCCGGGAGCATTGACTATGGATTCAAATAAGATGAAATCCTTGATAACTTCAATCTTTTGTCTATCATGATGTTACCTATTGACCCAGTTGTGTGGATTTTAGTTTACACGGAGTTGTAATTCATTCTGAAGCCTACAATCCTTGAGCTTCATCAGCAAGTGATGAGGTCCTCACTTTCCTCAAGCAGGGTTCTGTTGTCTGCGTAATGCTGGTTGTTAATAAACCTTTCTCCAACCCTAGTATCACATTCTTTTTCATATAATCCAGTTTCTCAGATGATTTGTTCAGCATACAGATTGAAAGCATGGTCAGAGGATACAGCCCTTCTGCACACCTTTCTGATCATAAACCAGGCAGTATCCTCTTCTTCGGTTCTTACAACTGCCTCTTGATCCAGGTACAGGTTCTGCATGAGTGCAAGGAAGTGGTGTGAAGTTCCTGTTCTTCTCCAGGCTATCCATACTTTGCTATGGTCCACACAGGCAAGTCAATAAAATACAAGTAAACCTCTTTGTGGCAGTGTCTACTTTCAACCAAGATCCATTTGCATCAGCAACAATATCCCTTGATCCATATCCTCTTCTCAATCCGGCCTGAACCTCCAGTAGCTCCCAGACAAGGTAGGTCTGCATCCCTCGTTGATGATTTTGAGCAACAATGTACTTGCATGTGATCTCAATGATATTGTTGTACAATTTATGCATTCTATTGGGTCATCGTTCTTTGGAATGGGTACAAATATGAATCTCGTCCAATCAGTTGGCCAAGCAGCTGTCTCCCAAATTTCCTGGGATAGACCAGTGAGTGTTAACAGTGCTTCATCTGCTTGTTGAAACATTTCAATTGATATTCCATCAATTCTTGAAGCCTTGGTTTTGGCTAATATTTTTAGTGCAGCTTGAAGTTCTTCCTTCAGTTCCATTGGTTCTTGCTCATATGCTACCTGGTGAAATGGCTGAATGTCCACTCGTTCTTTTAGGTACGGTGACTCTGTATATTCTTTTCATCTTCTTTTGATGCTTCCCGAATCAGTCAGTGTTTTGCTCAAAAAATCTTTGAATATTACACCTCAAGGGTTGAATTTTTGCTTGAGTTTTTTAAGTGTAAGATATGCTGAGTATGTTTGTCATTTTTGTTTATGCAACTCTTTGCCTTGTGTACTTCGTTATAGTATTTGACTTCGTTTTCTCAAGCTATCCCTTGACATTTTCTATTTGGTTCTTTGACTTCACCATTTCTTCCATTTACATTAGTTATTGTGCAATTAAGAGCAGGTTTAAGAGTCTCTGCTGACATCCATCTGATCTTTCCTTTCATTTTGATCTTTTATATGACCTTTTGCCTTCTTCCTGTATTATGTTCTTGATCTCATCCTTTAGCTCATTAAATCTCCTGTCATCTGTGTTTAATACATCAAATGTGTTCTTGAAATATTCTTGAGATTTGGGTGGGATATATTCAATGTTGTATATTGGCTCTCATGGCCTTGTTTTCATTTTCTTTAACTTCAATCTGCCCTTACATATGAGCAATTGGTGGTCTCTTCCACACTCGGCTCCTGGCCTGGTTTTAGCTGCATCTCCATCATCTCTACCCTCAGATGCAGTGAATTTGATTTCTGTGTATTCTATCTGGAGAAGTCCACAGGTATTTGCAATCAAGATATATTTGGTCTTTCAAAATTCTATCTTGTGATTGTCAGCTTCATTTCTATCACCAAGACCATAGTTTTCAACTTTAATTCCTTCCTTTGTGTTTCCAACAATTATGGGTACATCTTGAATGCCAGTTTGATCAATTTCAGACAGAAGAAGTTGGCAGAATTCCTCATTGTCTGCATCTCTAGCTTTCATGGTTGGTGCATGCATGTGAATAAGAGTTGTATTGATTCAATTTCCTTTAATATGGACAGACATTATCCTATCACAGACAGCACCGTCCTTCAAGATAGATCTTGAACCATCCTTTTTGGCAATGGACGTGATGCCATTCTTCGTGAGTCTGTCGGAAACCCTTGCTTTTCTGATTCGGAATGGTCAACACCGGTCCATTTCAGCTCCCTAATGGGTTCTATTTAATTTTTAATACGTTTCAAATGTCCTACTTCCAGATTCTAATTATTAATTGATGTTTTCAGCTGTTTCATCTCATACTCCATCAGCAAATGAAAATCCTGGAACTTTTACCCACCCAGGCATTATCCCACTCACCCATTATGGCTGACTCTCCTTTGAGAATGCAGCTTTCTTCAGCTGCATTTCTTCAGTCATATTTTGAGTGGCTTTAGACCAGACAGGCTCATGTCTGAAACTATCATTGACACTGCTCAGCTTCTATATTTTAGGTTATCACTACCTGACAATGTTTTGATGGTATCCATAAAGTTTTCAGTGGCCAATTCCTCTGAAGTGGGCAGCCTATTCCTTCTCTGTAGTCTGTGCTTAGTCTGAAAGCTCTTCGGAAACCTGTCCACTTTTGGTGACCCTGCAGGTATTTGAAATACCACGACACAGCCTTCAGCATCATGGCAACACACAAGCCAGCCACCAAAGTATGACAAACTGATAGATAAGTGGTGGTTCCAACTCATAGTGATCCTACGTAGGATTTCTAAGACTGTAAATCTTTACGGGGCCAGACAGCCTCATTTTTGTCCCTCCAAATGGCTGGTGAGTTTGGACCACCAACCTTGAGGTTAACAGCCCAACACAAACCTGACAGGGCCACCAGTCATTAATAGAAGCTAGTAATTAAGTCGGCTGTAGTTCTGAGCTACACCAGGAGGAATTAGATCTTACTCAAAAGAAGGCTGAGACACAATGGAAAGCAGCTTTTAGAAGATAGTAAAATCGGTATTTCTAATATATATTTGGGGGACTTGGGGGGTAGAGTGAATACAAGCAGAACTCAACATATAGAGAAGGTTGTGGAAGGCCTCTATAAACCCAAAGTTATATGAGTTTGTTCATATAGACAGACTTGTATACATGAGTGTGTATCCAAGAGCACTTGTGCTTTGTTGTACATGAAGACCGTGTGTGTGTGTGTGTGTGTGCACACTGGTGAGCCTATACACATATATGTGTATGTGTGTTCCTAATACAGACTGAGATATGAGAGTTCTACTGGTGCTCAATCACTGAAGAACTGTGAGTCAAAAAACTGCCCATCGATGTTGAAGGCAGTAAAGCAAAGTAAGGTAGGCAAGTCATTGCGTAATTTTAATTCATATTACTTTTCAAATGGTTTCCAATGTAAAATTTAATACACTTATTGTTCTGGTTAACAATTTTTGGCACAGGCAAAAGACCTGTTTCTTGTTCAATGTCAAGAAACAGGAACAGTACATTTGTTGTCATTATTATGTCACTGTCTCTTTCAATGACTTCAAACTCCACCCATGCTGTGGGAGCCCTGGTGGTAGAGTAAGTTATGCCATTTGCTGCTAATGACAAAGTCAGTGGCTTGAAATCATCAGCCGCTTTATGGGAAAAAGATAATGTTTTCTCCTCCTGTAAAGAATTATAGGCTCGGAAACCCACCAGGGCAGTTCTATTGTCTTACAGGGTGTCCACGAGTCAGCAACGATGTGATGGCAGTGAGTTTCAGGCTGCTTCGTTTGCTTATGGACCAAGCTATTGATGCTTTTCTGAGGTTCTTTTTCTCCTTTGCTCACGGAGTGCCAATGAACTCTGATCAACGTTTACTGAATGCCTAGCCTGTGGGGGGAAATCTTGGGTGTTGTTCTGTACACAGAGCACCCTGAATCTACTGGAGAGATTCTATTGGAGACACAGTCTGTTCTCCGTAAAAGCATTAGATAATGGAGTGATTATGGATTATGGGAAGGTCGGAGTGCTAAGAACATGTAGCCAAGCTTCTGGCCTTTGGAAGAAAAAGAAGCTTCAGTTTTCACAAGAACAAAGGAGGTACCATGAAATCAGAGTCAGGCAAGAACACACAGCCAGGGTGCCAGGTAAGGACCCTAAAAGAGTGATTCCCTGCTACATATGCTTTTGTGATACTCTCAAATCTTCTATGCACAAAGGACAGATGTTGTATGAGACCAATGATCTAAAGAAAAAATGTAGACAAGATTCTCATAAATCAAAGGGAGCAGACTTGGGGGCCACCAAGGGGGTGGGGTAAGAGAAGTAAGATGAAGCAATAGACTAGAGGCCTGACAGGTACTAACTTGAGTAACATAGAAGGGCAGAGATAAAGAGGAAGACCTTTGAAGAGGTGGATGGGCACAGTGGCTGCAACACGGGCTCTGACATACTAACACTTGTGATGAAGGCACAGGCAGTACTGCCTTTGGGTGCACGTAGGGTCCCCAGTGTTGGAACTGCCTGGAAGGCACCTAATAACAACACCTGGGTGAAGGGGTAGGTAGTTATCCAGAAGGAGGAGGACAGAAATCAAAGAGCAGGTAGGGTCAGTTTGGATTAAAAATTTAAATAATGCTGAATGCACAATTGGTGATCTCAAATGTGTCAACTCCCATGAAATTCAAAATAAAAAAAAATCAGCTATGTATGAGGGACGTTCTTGGAAAAGTTCCCTTATATTTTAAACTCATTTTTGCATCAACTTTTTGAGGCCTCCTTGTATTAATTAACTATCATGTATGAGTCTATAATGACTTTTACACTGTTGTGTATAGTGTGAATAGCTTATAATGTGAAGGTAGAAAGAGAGGACTTCTGGTTTTAGAATCATATGGATTTCTATTGGAGCCCTGGAAGCACAGTGGTTACTCAGGATGCTAAACATAAGATCAGCAGTTCAAAACCACTAGTTGCTCCTCGGTTGAAAGATGGAACTTTTAAAGAGTTATAGTCTAAGAAACTCATAGGGGTAGTTCTACCCTGTCCCATAGGGTTGCTGTGATTAAGCACCAACTAACTCAATGTCAGTGAGTGAGATATGTCTATTACCTGCACATCTTTTGAAAGGATAAGTCATTAGAAAAGTGTTCTAATCTTGAAAATAGATCATTGAATTGGGAAAGGATGCGAAGAATATAGTAAACAACCCTCCTAAGACAGCCATAGACCTGCCTACTGAAAACCGCAATGTTAATCACATCTCCATAATTGGCCTTGAGCCATGCATAGGTCATACAAAAATCCCGTTAATTTCTAGTAAAACGTATCTCTGTAAATTGGCATTGAGATACAAGTGTATCATACAAAAACCCTCTTATCTGGAAATCAGATACACTAATCTTGGTTAAGCAAACATCACCAAATCCATATATTGCAAAGTCATGGCTAGAAGATTACATAGAAACGGAATTTGTGGTCATTCTCTGGAGTGATTGAGATTGACATTTCTGAAGATTGAGAGCCTGCTGAGATATTGCCCACCACATCCAACCTCAGACCCTCATAGTCATACTCACTACTGTCCAGTCAATTCTGGCCCATAGTGACCCCCCTGACAGAGGAGAGCTGCCTGAGATCCCAGCAGTGGGAAACTACCGGTGAGTTCGAGCAGTAGCCAACTGTTCCTCCTAAGACGACTTATCAGCAGTAAAAAAATAAAGTTTGAAGATTTGTTCCTAATCATGGGACTAACATTATAATGACTGTGATTCTTTAGTTCTCAATGAATGTCTTGAGATCTTGCACGCATGCCTTGTCATGACTACCTTGCAAAGACTAAATGAGCTGAAGCATGACAAACACGGAGAGTTCTTATTTTTAATGTAAAATCCTATAAGACGTTCCTGAAATAATGAAATGATCTTCCTACTATATTAGATTTCACTATATGAACACAATATTGCCTAATAAGATTGTTCCTAAGCCCACTATGTAATGTAACCACTATTTTAATTTTTACATATTGACTTTAGTATCATTTCCATGCCTATGCAGTAATGGACACAAAGCCTACCCCACAGGATAGGAGACACAATGTCCCCTTTTGCTTTTTGACAGTTTGTTTGAAAACTATCTATTTCATAATAAAAAGCCTAGAATTTGTTTCAAAATATTATAGTGGTCATGGTAGAAGGAGGGGCATAAAACAGGATTAGCTAAGAATGAATACTCATTAAATCTGGGTAATCCAGGCAATAGGTACATGGGTTTCTTTATGCTGTTCTATCAACTTTTATATGTGTTTGGAATTTTCACAGATATATAGATAGAGGCACATGTATATTATGTATATCTCTGATAGCACTGTGGCTAAGCGAGTGGCTCATACTCAAAAGATCACTGGTTTGAACCCACCACCTGCTCCACAAAAGGAAGATAAAAATTAAAATTAAAATTATAGCCTGAATCTATGGAAATTTTATGGGGGCAGTTCTACTATGTCTTACAAAGTCTCTGAGTCAGAACTGATGCAACAGAAATGTTTCTTTAGTATGTGTGTATATGCATTTTTTCAGAAATTAGTAGTTTATATGATCCATGTACAAGGGGAGATTTGAAAGGCAAATTAAAACATGGATCAATATTTGGGAGGCGCACCAGAGTAGAGTGTACATTGAGGATGTTTCCATCGCCATTTTCCAAGTTACCTTAGTCACATCATTCATTTTCCTGTGCTTACACATGGCCTCAAACTCCGGTCTCAGCTGCAGCTGCTGCTGCTCCTCTTCGAAGTCCACCATATCCCACTCGTACTCCAGTATGACCTGTCGCTGTTTCCAAAACTCCAAAAACAGCGTGACTGTAGGGGGGACATATATGAAAACAATCAAGACAGGGAAAGATAAACCTAATTAATAATGTTTCTTCTCCCCATTTCAATAATCTGCTTCATGATGGTTCCTATTTTGGCCACTGTTCTATTTGATGGTGAAATTATAAAACTACTAAGACTTGCATAATAACATTTATCAAAATATTTTGAAATAACTCACGTACAAAAATTCAAGTTAATTTCTTACACATTAGTTCATGGAGAATTTTTTTTCACGCACATTAAACACTTCATTTTTGAGGTTGTTTATAAGCTTAATATTTTACTAACATTCCATCTGTTTGAATCTTTTACTGAAAGTACCGATGCAATGAACCACTTTGGGAGAGGTTATTTTTGAAGCATGTTGAAAGAAAAAAAAAAAAAAAGAGTCATTCCCCAAGAAAATCTGTCCTTAAAATATAGTTGTAATGGAAGAATAACATATTTAAACAAAAAATGCATGAAATATTTTGTGACCAGCACCAACATAACACCTGACTAACACCTCAGAGACATTCCCACGTGATCTTCCAAGAAATAAAGATCATCAGAACCCTGATACCTAACTTTATAGTTTTTCTAATTGGATGGATTGGTTTTGCCTATCTTTTGACTTAATGGTGCAATACATAAGATAGTTTTTTGTGCTTCACAAGTTTGCTAATTAACCGAGGATCATTTCCACAGCTAAGTGTACTTGGGTTTACAAATTGTAGGCATGTAACTTTATGTAGAAAAAGTTCACTTATTCTCATTTCTATGTGATATTCATGGTATGACTAAACCTTAATTTTGTTTATCTATGGTTGTCTGAAGGATAATTGAGTTGTTTCTACTTTAGTTTTACAAATGCTGCTGCTGGAAACATTCTTTTGGTGGACATGTGCATATCATTCTGTTGGGTATATATAATTTTACCAAATATTAAACATTCAACTTTGGGTGTTTACTTTGACTCACTCCTTCCCTCTTACGTAATTGTGAGGAATTACAGACTCTAACAGTACATTTTCATAGCCCTAATTATGTCTTTCTTCAAGCAGCAGTGCAGTCATCTATGGAGCCTCTGTTTTCAATGCATCTCCTTTATAAGGCAGAAACATGATACCACTTAACGGCTAAGGTGTTGGCTTGCTTAAATAGATCTGCTCCTATATTCATTTATGTGTCTTGTCACCAATATACTCGTGTGAATTTCAGTTTCCACAAATTAGTCAAGTACCACCAATACTTCAACAGCATGACTCAAAGTATAGTTATGATACACTAAGCGTAAACATATAAAATATAAAATTTCATGTTAGTTATTCTGCCCCCCAAAAATCCCTAATGAAGAATGGAGGCATATCATGATAAATGACCAGTCACATCCATTCTTCTACACCCCGATGAACGGTTCAAAGTTGGCCAAGGAGCGCATCTTCTTTAGCTCACACGGGCAGCAAAGCACACAGTCATGCTGCTTTCTTGTCTCCGAGTGAAAAGCCCCTATCACATTTTAAAAAATGGATAATCAAAATGAGGAATTGACTGACAAAGTGTAACAAAGAAAAATGACAAGTGATAATGTTGCAATGTAATTCAAATAAATTTAATGCATTAAGACATTTAATAAAATACAAATGGAGTTATAGAAGAAATGACTATGGCAATGTTGACATTGCTGCTGTTTAAGAAATTATTTATACAGCCAGTGGGACGTAGTGACGAGAGCAGTATCAACATAATGAGGGAAGTGTCAACAAGAAGGATGAAGACGTCCCAGAGAAAGTAATGTCAGCAAAAATGTTTACCTAAAAGAGACTCTTGCAGACAAAGCCACAAAGGAGAAATTATGGGAAACTCGTCTGACTTTCATTATTAGAATGTATTTTTCACCTCATCGCATCCATAAAAATAATATTAAAATGAAATCCATTCCAAGTTCACTCTTCTAAAAACAGTAGCGCAGTTCTCCTGGTCATAAAGGAATCTCGCCATCGTCTGTACTTTCTTGCAGACCTTGAGTGGATCCACTAGTGAAACTCGTGGCTCATCACTTCCAGACTGGCGCTTCAAATTTACCCAGGAACCTTCCCCTGGGAGAAAGCTGTCCACAAAAGCACAGCCCGTGAAAACCGTAGCAAGTGCAGTTCGACTCTGAAGCGCATGGTGTCCCAATTCACGCCATCTCTTGAACTGGAACCTGTTTTCCTGTTTCCACCTGTGCTCCCCCAACACTTAAAATGTATTTCTAGGACAGTAGTTGCCATATACTGTTCCAAATTAGATTGCGACTTTCCCAGGAAAAAGTTGCAATTCATTCATTAGCACATTCAATAGTGATTGTGAATTTCATGAGACAGGAGCCAAAGTGTTTACTCACAGATTCATTCATGTACCCCTGCTTTCAGTAACTAACACTATCATTACTAAGGAGAATAAAACGTTGAGGGCCTGGTACAATCAAGCAATATCTTAGTGTTTGTTTTTTTACATTACAAAAATTTACTATCGTAAGTTTTCAAAGTAATATTTGGTTACCATGGTTTTGCAACAGATTCAGGCATCTTCAAACTACAGCCCGTGGGCCACATGGCCCGCCAAGGACATTTATCCTGCCCGCCGGGTTTTTTTGGCCCGTTTGCTTTTTTACTTCAAAATAAGATATATGCAGTGTGCATAGGAATTTGTTCATAGTTTTTTTTAAAAACTATAGTCCACCTCTCCAACGGGGCTGAGGGCCAGGGAACTGGCCCCCAGTTTAAACAGTGTGAGGACCCCTGGATTAGATGCTCTAAATATTAGAAATAAAGAGGACAACATGAAGTAGTTAATCTTCATTTGACTGAAATTCTCTTAAATTCTGATGTAGAAATAAGACACATAGTCAATATAAATGGGTTTCTAACAGAAATTGAAAATAAAATTTCCCTAGCAAATAACCTGCTAGGAATTTATCCTTATAAGCTATTTGTATAGGTGTGAAAGGATGTTTATTTGTAATTATTTATAGTAATAAAATAAAAGCAACTAGAAACTCAGGCTCACACACTTAGTGAAATATCCTGAGAAATTGCCAAGATATTAATTAAATTGCAGGCAATTAAAAAAATTTTATTGGGGGGCTCGTACAACTCTTATCAGGATCCATGCATACATCCATTGTGTCAAGCAAATTTGTACATTTGTTGCTATCATCATTCTCAAAACA